TTCTCATTACTGAATGATTCAGCATTTTGAATGAATGAAGAGCTGACTGAAAAGATGATCACGGAATATTTTGTGTAATATATTTATATATAAATACAATAGCCATACCTCATAAAAAAGTTTTATGTACTATGTTGATATCATTTTGGACACAAGAGGGCAGTATAGCCCTATGTATGTTTTTTTTTTGTTTAACCAAATAGCACTAAATAGCCTGTTTTAAACTTTTTCATACTACTTGAATTTATAAAAAATGGAATAAAACGAGTTTAGTTCTAATATTTGTATAATTTTACATAAAAATAAATGGTGTATAATTACATTTTTAGAAGATATGAGACGTTTCCTGATTCTTTTTTTGACATAACCCCTTTGCCATAGCAAAACCGTTTGAGATATTCAATATCCGTTAACAATTTAGTATCTTTTATGTATTTTCATCATGTTGAAAAAGTTTGGTGGGAATAAAATGAACCATTTAAGAGGAGTGAGTAAAAATGTAGAGGCTGGTTTTGCAAAACATCCACATTCAGACCAAAATAGCCAACTTCCTGTTGGGCTGGCTTAAAGTTGTTTGGCCTGATGAGATCTATGTGTACCGAGTTTCATATTATTACATGCAAGTGTGTTTGATTTATGGACCAAATTTTCAGACCAAGTTTATGGACCAAGTTAATTTAATTACTAAACTAATTATATAAAACTATTGTCAATGCACTACAATTAAACTGGTTATATGCATTTTCTTTATTAAAAATATTTAAAAAATACAAGGCTTAAGACATTTATTTTCTTTTTTAATGCAGGCCAAACCACACAGCAGTGAAATGGTTAATCTAGCCCCCCTCCCCCTACACACACACACACACACACACACACACAGACAGGCACAGAGACGTAGGCTCAGATAAAATGACCATATTCAAACCAAAATATCTGACTTTCTGTTAGTCGGAGCTAATGACTGTAAATTAGAAAGTTGTCCGGCTTGATGAGTACAATATGTACTGGGTTTTGTTACTGTAGATAAAAGTAATCCCCCCACTTTTGACAAAAGGTGGCGCTACTGAGCCCTCACCACGCCCGTTTCTGAAACTTTGCACATGTCTACTGGCTAATAAATGTGATGCGTCTGTCGAGTTTCATGCAATTTCAAGTATGCTTAGAGTCTCAAAAGCATCAAAAAACAAGAATATTGAAGTTTGATGCGTTGCCACGGCAACAGTATCTAAGATATCAATAATCTTTTCACAGGTCTACATCTGCCGTGTGTTTACATTATACACATAAAGTTTGAAGCAAATCGGGTAAAAATAAGAGGGTGATTTCAAAGCATTTTGAAAGTGACACACTTCCTGCTGCCAGTTGGTGGCGCTAAAACTTTGACTCACAACAGTCACATCCATGTGATTGGCCTCTTATAACGAACACACTGCTGAAGTTTCACCAAGATCAGTTAATGTATAAAGAAGTTATAACACACTTCCTGTTTCTCTTTTCGCGCCATAATTTCGTTTCCTCGCCACGGCCAAACCGTTCGAGATATCAAAAATCCCCTGGCAATTTTTCATCCTCAGTGTCTTGACTTCACGCTGACCGAGTTTCGTGCCATTTTTCTGAATTCTCTAGGAGTATTTCAAATTCCATTGCATGCGTTTTCCAAACAACCCTAAATAGCCGACTTCCTGTTGGGCTGGGGTAAAAAGTAAGAGCATGAAAGATATATGAACCGATGAGATCTATATGTGTACCGAGTTTCATATTATTACATGCAAACGTGTTTGATTTATGGACCAAGTTTTCGGACCCGTTCCAGGGGGTGCTGTCGAGCCCCCCTGCCACGCCTGGGTACCAGCTTCAGCCCGGCCCTGATGGCCGCGGGTTCTGACCCGTGTGCAAAGTTTCAAGAGTTTTCGAGCACTTTAAGGGCCCCAAAAGTGCCCGAATAGTCGTTAGAAAAAAAAGAAAAAAAAATGTATCCTAAGGAAAACAATAGGGCCTTCGCCCTTTCAGGGCTTGGGCCCTAATAATAAAACTACAAGCAATAGCACAAATAAAATAAACAGTGCTTTTCAGGTTTTTCAGGTATCTAACAATAGTTTTCAGGTACAGAAACTGAATAAAGTAATCAAATGTAAAATAACTTTGCATAATCTTCACTGTATAAATTAAATAAAAATTAAGCTTTTCAGTCAAGAGCAGAGAGTGATTTCCTTCTCCTTTGTTCCTTGAAATATAATTTGCACGAGTGTGTGTGTGCGCGCACAAGAAATGAATTATGTTGTGCATCAGGCATATAAAACAGAAAACAAAGACACATAATCAATGTTTTTGCTTGCAAATGCACATTTTTATATAAAGTAGATAGAAGAGTTGACCAAAGTCATAACACAAACTCACATTCATACACACCCATATAACAGATTGCTTCTTTAAATATATCATAGATACACATTTTTGTTTCATTTTGATCAACAAAATTCACATAACGTGAAACATAAGGAAAAGAGAAATTCATATTTCAGTCTCTTGTTGCTATACAGTTTTTTTTCTTGTTGAAGATTGTTACATCAGCCACAAAAAATGTATGAAACATAATAACACAATTTTGCCTCTTTTATTTGGCTATCTATGACAAGAACAAAGTTGCTGTATAGCCCTCCTTCAAACCTTTACTGTGACAGTCAGTTATCATCACATCCAGTAACCCATACCAATGGAGCCATTTGTTGTAGTAGCATCAATGCATGTACAGTCTTTTTTGCCCTATGTACAGAACTTCACAACATTCAGCTAACATGAGAAGGCTCTTGTCATCGGTAAAACGTGATCTTTGCATTATTAGCACCAGTGTTTTATCAGAATGAGGCCAGACACAAAATATGGGGGATAAATGTGAATGCGTTGTCATCAGAAAATGATCGGAAAAATGTAAATAGTCTTGTGTGTAAATAATCCCATATAGAAACAGAAAAAAACTATTTAACAGACAAAAGACAAATAAAAGGATTTAAAGACTGTTGTCTGTTAGCTTTTGTCTGTCATTGATCTTTAAACTTCAATTGTGCATATTGCTAAACGTAGTGCAATCAGGTCACAGATGACCTGCCATCTAAATTGACTTGATAAGTTTGTGTGTATCCAGGTAACTAATCTTAGTATCTTACATGTCATCATTTGTATATTTAAAAGCTGCTGTACTTTGTTTTATAGAGGCCTCTTGAGACTCTCAAAAATCTATTTAAGCGCCTCTTTGTAAATGTTAATATTACACCTGACCTGTGAACTGCTTTAAAGTCTCCCTCTTTAATCACTGTTGATCATCTTTGACAAAAACTGTGCTTGTCTTCAAGTCACATATTAAGCTTGAATAGTGAGCAAATAATGTATGGAGAAATGCTGATGAGTATGTATCTCTCGTTCACAGGAAGGACAGCACCTCGTTCTCAAGATGATTACTAATTACATCACTTCAAAACGTCTCATCTGCAACATATCTACAGTTAACACTGGTTTGCAATGTCATAACAGACGTAAAATTGCGCAAAAATCAAAGCAGCCTTCTCAAATTTTGTGAGACGGCATAAAAATACAGAAAAGAAAATAACAAAGAAGCTTGTTGAGCAAAATTGACATTTTTGTAAGTTCTTTTAAACTTAAAACTGTGACAACATTATGTATAGTTTATTTTGCACATGACCCTAGCACTATTTTGTTTCGCACCACCTTTTAGAGTTTTTGTCTGATATGTTTTTAAGGGCATTTTGTGTTTTAAAAAAACTGGTTTTGTTTGTTTTTATGCATAATTATTATGAAAATAGTATTCCAGACCTATAATGGACTGAAAGCAATGGCAAGTTTCTAATAATATAAGCAATATTTTCTTTCTTTTTTTTAACAAAATATTTGTAACATTGAATGTCCCCTGCTCAAGTCTTTTCATAATACCTCTACTCTTTTGCTCCTTATAAAATATCCCTTTCCTAATGAGAAGGCTACAAAAGTACTTCTGGCTGACTTTTAGAACTTTTATGGCACATCATTTTTGGAACACTGTCCAAAAGAACATCATACGCAAAAATTGTGACCATCAAATCATAAAACAAAGATATTTTAAAAGTTGTGAGGTTGGTCAAGAAGCATGCATTAACACCCGTATAAGAACATACTTGCTGTTGAAAATACATAAAATATCTACCTCTCTATTTGTTTGTTTCCCATTAGAGATTTCGGTTCTTTTCACGATGTCAATAGGTAGCGCAACATGGAAAACTGTCTCCTTCCCGAGATGAAAGATTCTGTTCTGTTGGAAGCAGTGCAGTCGGTTCTTCGTCACAGATCATTTTAGCTCATATATCATCATATATTTCCTTAATATAGAATGTCATTAACAACAACAACTGATGTACGTTTGTACAGACCACCTCATGAAATGGTCTTTAACCTGCAGCAGTTTAAGACCCAGACCTTCTTGAAGGCCACTAAGATATGCTAAACAATGCATAACATGTTGAAAAAGTGATGCCATGCAAGAGCAGCAGTTCATGGTCCTCATATATCTGTGTAGGATTTATTTGAATGTAAAGTCAAACTAGAGTCTTTGGTTTGTATAATTTTGAAAGTGTTGCAAACTTGGCTCTCGTTTTTAACTAATACTAAGCTGCAGGAATACAGCACAAGCTGAACTTTTCAATGAATGCCGCCGTCTTTGTTGTGAGTCAAGAAGCATTTTTATTGGGACTCATTAAAACTGCTGCTCATGTTTGTGTTTGGATGGAATCACTTGGAAAGGTCAACATGCTGCCCAGTCGGGAATATCCTGCAGTTGATTCACTGACCTCAGAAACGCCACACGACCAAAGAACACATTGTTGGCTGGCAAGGTGTTGTCCTGCATCTAGGTCAGACCTTAAGGGTTTAGAATGGCTGATCCAATCGCATTCATTGCTACAAATAAGCTTCAAAATCTATGCTTTTTAATACTAATAATAACACTAAAGTTTTTGTTCTAAAAAAAACTTCTTTTTTTCTGTGCACAAAACCTTTTTATGCACAGTTTTTTCCTGTTTATGCACAAACGGCTCACTTATCGATCCAGGCCGATAAGTAGCCGGCTGTCCTCCTCCTTTAGAATTTCGTTTTTCAGGTCAGCGAAAACCTGCGTGAAGTAATGGGGGTCAGAGTTAAGCTGGAGCATTTTGCTACTCATGCGGTTGATGATCGCCAGACTGCGATTCCAAAAGGCATCCTTATCCGTCTCCACCAGGAAGGGCTTGAGCGGGTAGGAAATCTCGTTTCCCATGTAGGAGTAGGACAGGTAGAGGCAAGTGAGCAGCTCAGCCTGCAGCTCGCGTTCGCTGGACACCTCGCCCGAAATGACCTCGCGGCAGAGCATATAAAGGAAGACCACGTTAGCTGGGGTGATGAAGCCCTGGTCTTGCCAACCTTGCAGCAGAAGGGACCGGTCCACGCTGCGCAGCCACAGAACAGGGTCGGCGGGAGAGAGGCGCTTCAGTCGGTAGCAGCGTCGGCACAGGAACTCGCCCAAACTTCTCAGGAGCTCACTGGTGGAAGCCTGCACGATCACTCTTTTGGGTGTGCCAGCGTTGGTCGTTTGACCCACCGATCCAGTGATCGAGGTCCTCTTCGCAGTGGAGGCCACATTGGCCGTAGTTTTCGATGTGGGTATGGAGCTCACGGTCGGCTCCTGCGTTAAGCCGGAGAGATTGGCACAGGACTGGGACTTCTTCAGGTTTTGGCTGTTGAGGGTGTCCACGCTCTCTTCATCTTGACTGTCGCCCGACGCCAGCTTCTTAGAGCCTTTCCTCTTGGCTGAAGCCGCCACTATGCGCTTCCACGGCAAGATATTGATAAGCGACTGCCGTTTCAAGCTCTTGTCCTTGGCATTTTTACTGTTTTGCACAGCTGTATAATGGGGTGGTATTTCATCAAACAGGCCTGCCTTTCGGTAGCTCGGGGAGACTGAGAGAACAGTTCCCATTTTGCCTTGATTATTACAGGGTCTTTAGATATGGAATCTGTCCATAAAATAAATAAATAAATATGAATGTTTAGTGATACAATAGTATTTCATCTAAATAAGCAATGATTTTGATTAAACCATTTATCATTGATCACCATTTAAACGCAACATACACATGCACACATGCAAAACATAAGCATTTCTCTCTATATATGCTATATTCTATAATATATATATAGCCTATAGAAAACTAAATTCAAAAATCGTAAAATTGTTTTTTTATTATCGATTTCCCTGTTTTAATGAACTGAACCGCTGGTATCCGATTCACCAGAAGATTCAGCAGAATATGCGAAAGCATCCATCTTAGCTTCAAAATGGAAGGCTAGAATGTAAACACATTCATTCCTAATTCATATCCAATTGCAAGGAAAATCCCTCTCAGTGCGTGTTGTAAATGTGAATATTGAATATTTCTACATTTAAGCTTTAAGTCGTTTATGACCTCATAATTTATCAAGCTATTCAAAATATTTAGTGGGTCACACGAGGAAACGAGAACATAAAGGTCGTAAATCAAGATAGCATCTTTATAATCTGGCTCGTGTGGACAGTACAATTGAGTTTTTCACATTTTGTGAACTATTAAGAGCGAACCCTTTAAAAGCGTTTTTGAAATTAAGTTAATTTGATTCAATATGGATTATAAACATAAATGTTGGTTACCTGCTAATCAATGCGTCTTCCTCGCGGTGATAAACGTAGATATAAAATAAGAAGAATCGGTATAGAAATATCCGTCGATTATCCTTTTTTCTCAGAGTGTCGCACTGTGAAACGTGCTCGTCGTTGTCCAAGGTGCTGAAAAGGGGACGTCAGCGATGAAATAATGCTTCTACGTAAAGCAAATATGCAGGATGTTCAGGATTCTCCGGTTGCTAAGGTTACTTCACAGGATGCACGCCATGCACGTCTTCCCACATAAACCCTCGATGGCAATTCTGTCGTGTCCCTTTCATCACAATAAATATCGGGTCTGTTTCACATCTGCCAGCCTGTGATCTTCTTGTTGAACTGCGCAGGCGGGTAAACAGACTAGGTTTGAATATAACTAGAAAAGCTTAAAAATAAAAGTCCGTGTCAGACTAATCCTTAAGTAAATGCAATGAATTGCGTTCATTGACCGCTATTTATTTATTTTTTAGAGAGAGAAAGGCATTGGCCTCTCTTGGTGATGCTGAATCTCAGATGGGTGGGAACTTGGCAGTGGCTGAGCTCCCTCTAGTTATCTGTCCATGCCGTCCGTCATGTGGGCTCTGAAATCGCTCACCACAACACCAGCATATTTTATAACGATTCCTAAACTTGACCATAAGGTCGTCTACCTTTCATGGTCAAGGAATAGCTATACTTTAACTTCACACGCCCTGTCTTTACATGAAATGCCAGCTGTTGGCAGTCAGATAATCATTACAATCTTTAATCAAGATCCAGAGAGTGAGGAAAGTCTCACACACTGAACGCTCAAGACAGATTAACTTCAATCCTGATGTGCAGTAATGTCGCCGAGGCTTTGTAGTCCTCAGTGGCGCAGGCAGACATGAATGGGCAACCCCACCCCCCTGATCTCTCTCTCTCTCTCTCTCTCTCACACCCACCCACACACTCTCTCAATCTCTCATGCTTATCCACTCATCCTGCTCGGACTTTGTAATAGTTTAAAAAGCAATAGTTTTTTTTTTTTATACCAATCTGAGTGTTTTGCAATTTCACTCTTTTACGTTAATTTAAGCTTATCAAGTCATTGATGAAACAGCACTTCGTATCAAATAAAGATGACACGCAGACAGATACACAAAGTCTACACACCCTTGTTAAAACAGCTGGGTTTTTTTTGTGAAAAGAAAATTAAACAAAGAATCATATCAGAACGTTTGCACCTACAATGCCCCTGAAACCTTAAGTGATAGGCCTATATATCAGCACTTGGACTTAAAACACTTGGAATAACGTATTGCATGTTTGCACACCCCTGAACAAAGCACCCTTAGATTTTATTATCAGCTCTCAAGTCTGTTTGGATAGGAGTCTATCTTGGCACATCTTGACTTGTGAATATTATTCTTTGCAAAAACTTTCCAAATCTGTTACATACATTACAAGGGCATCTCCTGTACACCATCATCAGATTTTATGGGCTCTGGCTTTTCTCTGTATTCTCGTAAATTTGGAAGGAACACCCTGTTCCTGATAATGCCACTGTTGTGCCATATTTCATCACTTGTGGATGACTGTCTTCACGGTGTTCCATAGATATCTAATGGCTTGAATTTTTTTTGTAGGGCCCCTCACCTGAGTGATACCTTTCAACAATAATGAGATGGTACCATCTCATTATTGTTGAAAGGAGCATTGCTCTTTGTGGCCCAAGAACAACCAAGAACATGTCATAAAAACCTTACAAGAACAGCAACAACATTTATTTGGAGTTGTTCGGAGTCATTTCAGGTAAAGGCAGGTGTGTACAGTAGCCTACCTCTATCCATCCATCCATCCATCCATCCATCCATCCTGGTAATAGAGGCATAATGCAAGTACATTCTCCAAAATCAGTTATGCAGCATGCAAGACAGTTTACATGACATGTCAATGGCCAGGACTTGGTGTTAAAGGGATTGTTCACCCCAAAATGAAAATTGTGTCATCATTTACTCACCCTCGTGTTGTTCCAAACCTGTATGAGTGTCTTTCTTCTGTGAAGCCAAAAGAAGATATTTTAAAGAATGTTGGTAACCGGACAGCTGACTGCACCATATTGACTTCTATAGTATTTTTTCCCTATGATGTAGTTCCTTCGTCAACTATCTGGTTACCAACGTTCTTTAATATTTCTTCTTTTGTGAAACTCATACAGGTTTGGAACAACATGAGGGTGAGTAGGCTATATGATGGCAATTTGTAATTTTTGGGTGAACTATCCCTTTAACTCCTCGAGTGAGTCATACACCCTATTGTCTCTGCGAACTCAATCTCCCAGCGTGCCTTAGTGGCGCTTCCGGTAGCGTGTTCAATGATGATTGTTGTGTGAATCAGGCAATTGGTGAATTGGGAAGATGGCGGCTGCGGCGGTAGAGTTTCAGAGAGCACAGTCGCTGCTCAGTACGGATCGGAATGCGTCCATTGACATTTTACATGCTATTGGTAAGTGTCTCCTGTCCCGCCACCTTTTGAACTGCTTGTGTGATTTTAGCTAAAGGAGCTGTGCTTTTAACACACGGATCATGTCCCCAATTGCGATTTGTAGAACTGCAGCTAAATGTGTTAGCCGGTTTCATGCTGCTGACTCACTGTGACAGGCATGAGAAGCCTTTAGCTGAATAAATACACTGTGCTCTTACTAACAGTTAACTTAACAGATGAGCCGCTGCGCTCTTTTAAACTTTTCCCTTACATTTATTTGTATTACTTGTAGCTGTTGTAGTGTTAGAAAAAACAATGTTCAGTGACCTGCCACCCGTGGAAACAGTTAGCCAATCAGCTAACTCAGTTTCAATGAACCCGAATCTCTCTTTAAAAGTCTGTAGGTATTTGCAAAACACGGATAAATATATAACTTATATATATATATATATATATATTTATGTTTAGTAATTGTTTTCGGCGTCCTAATTCTGGTGAATAATGTACAATTAGAGAAATGACTGACGTTTCCTAAATTACGTTTAAATGTACTACCAGAACTTTTATGCCAACTTAATTAGCTTCGCTAACGTTAGTTAGTGACGTTCAATTAGCTGCTTATGACATTTAACTTACCGGTAGGTATGAATTATCATAGTGTGTCAAGAAAAGTCTGAAAAATATTATTTCAACTTATTCATGGCAGATTTGAGTCATTAAAGCATGACTGACGTGTTTTTACGATTACGGTCAGTGGTCACAGACCTTTTCTCCGCTTATCGTTCAGTTATGCTAACGTTATATAATATGACAGCGTCAGTAAGTTTTGTTTGGCATGAAGTTTGATATGTGTGCGTTTGTCACGGATAATTTGATAGCATGCCACGCCACTTTTTGATTATCTGCTGCAGAATGTCATGTTTTTAGTTATTTTAACCTTTATTAAATATCTTAATACATTTGTAAACTATTAACCCAAGCAGCATACAATAGAAAGAGACAAAAATAAATTCATATTTTAAGAATAAAAAGTTAATAAAAGCTAGTTGTAACAAATTAAACTAAGGGGAGTTAATAAAGTAATTTAGAGTGTTTTAAATGATTCCTTTTTCAGCTGCTTAAAGGATTTGATTTTTCAAATCATATTTAAAAGCTACAAAACTTGGCAATTTGTGTAAATAAAACTTGCCTCCCATCAATTTTTTATATTACACACACATTTAGTTTCTTTATGTTTTAATAAGGTTTACATGTTCCTTTGGCATTATCAACAGTTGTTTAAGCCTTAATCTATCTGAGGATCATGATGACCAAGATGAAATTGTCTAGGCTATATATTGTCACCAGAAAGTCTAAGCCAGCCAAGTTTACATAGTTCTTTTAACAGCAATATGATCTACTTCTGTCCACATTCACAGTCAAACGAGACATCCAAGACGATGACGAAGAGGCTGTGCGTGTCAAAGAACAGAGTATTTTGGAGCTGGGCGGACTGCTGGCCAAGACTGGACAAGCTGCTGGTAAAGATCTTTAACTAATGGGTTGTCAGGATAAAAAAAAAATTTCTCATCATCATTGTCTGATAGTCTTGAAGTGCCACTGCTCTACTCTGTCAGCTGTCATTTTCCCCAAAGTTAATAACTGTTGTCCATATATTGTTCCTTTGCAGAATTGGGAGGTCTGCTTAAGTTTGTCAGACCGTTCCTGAACTCCATCAGCAAGGCAAAGGCGGCACGGTTGGTGCGCTCTCTGCTCGATATGTTCTTGGACATGGAGGCAGCTACTGGTCAGGAGGTGGAATTATGTTTGGAGTGCATTGAATGGGCCAAATCAGAGAAGAGGACCTTTCTACGACAGGCCCTGGAGGTGAGCACCTAGTTTTGTAAGTTAGAGACTTGCAATGGTAAACATCACCATTACTGTTGCTTATATGTAGGGTTAGGTTTTGGACAGTATGTTATTGATATTTTTTACCAAGGTAAAGTGAATAGTAGGCTATTCATCTGGTCAACTGGTCATGGATTTGACATGACTGTCCCTAGTTCACAATATGAGGAAGGAATGAGTGAATGTGAGTGTATTCAAACATAATTTATGACAATATTGTGCACTTTTTTGTATTGTGGTATACATAAACTTTCAAAAGTTAGTAGTTTTTGAAAAGCATCTTTTGTATGCTTACCAAGGCTGCATTTATTTAGTAAAATAAGTAATATTGTGAAATATTTTTGCAATTTAAAATAACTTATTTTAATATATTTTGAAATCTTAATTTATTCCTGTGATGTCAAAGCTGAATTTTCGGTATCATTACTCTTTATCATTATCATTAGTCTTCAGTGTCACATGGTCCTTCAGAAATCATTCTAATATGCTTATTTGCTGCTTAAGAAATATTTCTTCTTATTATCAATGTTTAAAACTGTTGTTGTGCTTAATATTTTTGGAAACTCTGTATTCACTCAGTATTCTTTGTTTAAAAGAACATTGGTTATATAAAATATAAATCTTTTGTAACATTATGAATATCTTTACTTTCACTTTTAATCAATGTAATGCTGCCTTGCTGAATGAACAAATTATTTCATTTAATAAAATAAATCCTCCTGATTCCAAAATTTTAAACCGTATCAAAGCGTAATGGAATTGAGTCACCAAAATATTGTTTTTTGCTTCCTGCCTTATAAGCTATCTTTGTGGTTATTAGTATTGATCATAAGCTGGTTCATTGATTTCTTATCAGTGTTGCTTCAATCTTTTAGGCCCGTCTGGTTTCTTTATATCTTGACACCAAACGCTACCAAGAGGCTCTGCAGCTTGGTGAGTCCTTTACAAGATCGTCCCTTGTATTTGAGATTGTCATGTTCTTACTTTTTAAAGGGATAGTTCACCCAAAAATGAAATTTCTGTCATTAGTTACTCACCCTCATGTAATTTCAAAACCCATAGGACCTTTGTTCATCTTCGTAGCACAAATGAAGATATTTTTGATGAAATCCAAAAGCTTTCTGACCCCCCCCCCATAGACTGGAACTTAATTGGTACTTTCAAGGCCCAGAAAGGTAGTAAATACATCGTTAAAATATCATCTGCATCACATACATGCGTCGTGGTGCTCA